TCCTGCGCGCACCTTTGGTGTCCGCCACTGAATTTCGAATACAATTCGAATGTGAACTAAGTGAGCCACAAATGTGAAAGCAGAGCCATTTGTCTCATCGTCCAGCTGTCTGGTGAGGCCTCGATTCCCGCGTGTGCGTCACGCAACCGCTTAGCACATCAAAGCGCCTGGGACATACCTGGGACGAGGCTGCTGTACAGGGTGTCTCAAAAAACCCAAAATCATTGAAATAACGTATTGTTCGAATTTCAATGCCGTAACACAAAGGATTTTGACAGGGTGATTAATTTGTTTTAAAAAATTAAAATATCTTTGTAAAGTGAACGTTTGTTTGCTCATGAGAATTTAAAAATGCTTCGTAAATTCGTGGGTTTAGTACTTTATGCCTGACATAACAAGTTTACGCTGAGTATTTTTTTTTTTTTTTTATAATTTAATTCGCCCAATTTAATTACAAAAAAATTTTGATTATTATATTTACATGTTTATTATTTAGGGCTAGGGGCCTACTAGAAACCATCAAAAGGCTTTTGATTAAGACCCCTAGTTACATTTTAAATTACAAAATAAGGATCCTATTTACAAACAAAACTAGGTGACAGTGCTTCAAGTGAGGTGCAATATGATAAAGTATTTACATATAGTGCTACAGTAAATAAAATGTTATGATCACAAAAGTATATTATTATTAATTTATATAAAAATTTGATATTGCAGATGTTGTTTTGGTAGTAGTTTTTCAGTTATTCAGTATGTAGTATTTTTTCGACTTTTTCTTGAATATATAGTAAGATGCTATATTTTTAAAGTTTGGGTCAAGATTATTCCAGATATCAACTCCCTTGTGAGAGAGTGAATGTTTAACATAGTTTGTTCTTTGATAAGGCTTATGAAGTTTCATAGAATTTCTTGTATTATGTCTATGAACTTCACTATTTGAAATATAGTAGTTCGCAAAAAATTCAGGTAAGTTTTTTAAGTGATGATATCTGAACATGAACAAACTGGTAAGATAATCGTTTAGTTTGCATAAGTTCAATATATTTAGGTGCTGAAATATGTTTTCAGTATGATCTAAGTGATAGCTAAAAGTCATTAAACGTACAATCTTCTTTTGAACATTTATAAGTTTTTGAATTCGTTTTTTATATGTATTTCCCCAGAGTAAGTTGCCATAAATAAGATATGGATAGACCAAAGCATAGTAGATTAGTTTTAATGTATTTAGGTTTGTATAGTGGCGCAGTTTTGCTATTATTCCAGATGATTTCATAATTTTTTTCGTTACCGCTTCTATGTGATCGTTCCAGGTTAAATATTCATCAATAACGACACCTAAGAATGTAGTGCTTCTAACTTGTGAAACCGATTGATTATTTACAGACAGGTGCAATTCCTGTTTCTTTTTATTTGGAGATTTAAACACAATTAACTTAGTTTTTGTTGTATTGATAGACAATTTATTTAAATTTAGCCATTCAGCAATTTTATTCATTTCTACTTGAAGTGTTTCTTGAAGTATTTTAATGTTGGAATGACTATAAAGTACACTTGTATCATCGGCAAATAGAAGAATTGAAACAGTTTTAGTACAGTTTTGGATATCATTTATGTATAAAATAATGTATTACCATTCATTATAGCAGTTATGTCAATCTTTTATGCACTCGTGGGATTAACTTAGTGCTAGGGCATTGAATATCGAACAATACGTCAATTTCAATGATTTTGGGGTTTTTTGAGACACCCTGTAGTCTGACTTTTTCTCCTTCAAGACAACATAATGATCATACATGAAGTATACTAATATCATTCTTGCACAGAATCACAGAATAAGGCACATGATCTTTACTCCGTGACAGAATCTGACAGAATATCAAGTTGCTAGTTTGTCTCAATTTAATAGCGGTGGTAGTCTGTTATTGTCTGTACTGGCAGGGTCTCCATCTGTGATCATATATTAAGATGTGTGAAAGACCCTTGCATGCAGATGAAATTTACAATATTATGTTTTTTCTATCAACTGAAGATGTTCTCAGATGTATGCAAGTTTGCAAATATTGGAAGGTGAGTACTAGTAATATTTATCATAATCATGGTTAAGCAAACGACGTTTTTGACAACAAACTAACATCATACGTACCTATAAATTTAACCGCTAATTTTAATATATGGCGTCAGCAGTTTGTGCTTGAAATCAAGAATGGCAGTTGATGCAGGGCTGACGTTCATGATTGCAAATAAGAACTGCTGTCGCCATGTATTGTATAACAACTCGATTTACTTCTGGTCGGCGTTTGTGAGTCAAAAACATCACTTGCTAAGCTCTCTATCAGAGAATAGAAACCGTACAGAGATCTGACTTCTTGTCGACGCCTATGACCCAGTGTGCTTATGGAAGGTATTCACCCCCCTGAAAACACTCAAAATGGCAGATGTCCAGGGGGTGATATCAACACAGGAAGGATGTCATTATGTCAAGAATGTGTAGTGAATATTTTTTAGCTATTAACAACCTTAAAAGATGTCAAATTTCTCATCTTGAATTTTCCAGGAAACATCATATAAGCATGCCACATATCCAGTCCTCCCAATTTTGATCCTTGATTCCTCACAGGCATTAAAAAAATGATAGATAATAATTACTGCCCATGATTATT